AAAATTTCAAAAATAAAAGGGGTCCTATAATTTCTGGATACCCTATACTTTACGTACTTTAATGTACTTCAAAGTATTTCATTGTACTTTACAGTACTTTCAAGTATTTTAATCTACTACAAGGTACCATGCAATGTTTTAAAGTATGTTATGGTAGTTTAAAGGCAATTTGGTGTGCTTCTTAATAACATTGTTTTTTGTTATCTATGCTACTGTTTTTCATCTACACTGGATTTTGGGCACATCGAAACTGTAATAATCATATAGAAATTTTCTAGTTAGTCTTTAATGATTTTCTCTGAAGCTATTTATTTCAAGGGAGAAAAAGCGGATCCTGGATCCTGTGGATCCTGTGGATCCTGGTGGATCCTGGTGAATCCTGGCGGATCCTGTGGATCCTGGTGAATCCTGGTGGATCCTGTGGATCCTGGCGGATCCTGGTGAATCCTGGTGGACCCTGTGGATTCTGGCGGATCCTGGTGAATCCTGTGGATCCTGGCGGATCCTGGTGAATCCTGGTGGATCCTGGTGAATCCTGGTGAATCCTGGTGGATCCTGGTGGATCCTGGTGGATCCTGGTGGATCCTAGTGGATCCTGATGGATCCCCATGGAATCTGATTAGGTATACAACAAGTCTACTCCCGACTGGACGATTGGGTACCAGTCCGCCTGGATACCAACGCACCTGGATACCCACTCCGACTGGATAACCAGCTCTACTGGATATTCAGTAAACTGATCTGACATTGGTTCGATAATCAGTATTTCCGTCTTTAAGCAAAGGTTTTCAGGGTCAAAGAATCTGAATCTGTAATCAGTTTTTCAAAATTTTGAGTTTGATATTTTTACTAAAAACTAGATTTATTAAGAAAATAACGATTTTTTATAAAGTTTCACCAAAGGTAATTGGGGTCGAAGAATCCGAATCTGTAATCAGATTTTCAAAATTTTGAGTTCGACTTTTTCCATCAAAGAAAGGGTTTTTTCAGAAAAAAATGAGTTTTTATAAAGTTTGACCAAAGGTTTTCGGGGCCAAGGAATCCGAATCTGAAATCCGAATTTCGAAATTTTGAGTGTGAATTCTTTTCACCAAAAAAATAGGTTTTTTAAGAACATAACGATTTTTATAAAGTTTGATCAAAGGTTTTCGGTGTTAAAGAATCTCAGTCTGTGATCAGTTTTTCTAAATTTTGTGTTGGACTTTTTTTGCAAAAACTAGAAGTTTTTCATTAAAAAATCTTTTCTTACGTGAAAAAAAGTCAAACTCAAAATTTTGAAAAACTGATTACAGATTCGGATTCCTTGGCCTCGAAAACCTTTGGCCAAAAACGGAAATACTGATTATCGACTCAATTTTAGGTCAGTTTACTGAATATCTAGTAGAGCTGGATACCCAGTCCGACTGGACTGGTGCATCCCTAAACCTCATGAAATTTAGAGTTAATTATTTGAAGCGTCCCCAAAAGAAGGTGAGAAAGCTGATCCTAATGAATAAGAAAGTTCATTAGGATCCAACGAAACTTAGTGAAAAAAAAGGATTAGTGATTCTAAAATTTGTAGCTAAGAAGAAAAAGCAAATCCAGGACACTGAGACACTCATATGTCTCCGTAACTTTCGTCATATTATGATGAATTTTGCGCATTTTTGGGATTTATCAGAATCTACGCTTTGTCTATCAATTTCAGATTATTGTAATGCCTAGTGATTTTTGCTTTATTCTGGTTGTCTCTGATAGACTGCAATAGATTCTGTTGAATTGTAGTCGATTAAGCTAATTTGTCACAACTATAGGCACACTCCGATAAATCTATTCTAAAATCTGGTTGAACTCTAGGACCCGCTTTTTCTCCATTGGTCTAAGTGTGTCAGACCTTAAGGCAATCTGGTACTCTAGTCTCAACCTTGTTTCTCCTTTACAAAATCTGAAAGAATCTTTCTCGATCCTGAACCTGAAAATTTCGATCACGTTTTATTCAGGATTTTGTTTCAAATTTTAATGATACATTGCAGGGTATTTCATTGCGAAAGAGGATGCTTCTCAGCATCTTCTCAGCATCTTTTCGTGTTCCTGCTGAGGCTTTTATTATTTAATAATGAAGGATCCTACTAGCATTCACTCGCAATCTTGCTCAGACCTTGACATGAACTATAGAAAGAATGTTGAGTAGATTTTATGAATGTTTTACTAGGATTTGTTCTGATTCACTGTCCTATGATTCTCTGAAGACTTACATCTAAATCAGGCAAAGATTCTATAAAGAATAATTTAAGACCAGTGAGAATTATCATCTGGAGGATTCTGCCAAGGTTCAAGCGCAATTCTATCTCATTTCCTTCCGCATTCTTGTTACGACTATCTCTTCTGAACATTTCTAGGATTCTCTTGAACTCTCTTTAGAGGCAAGCATTTTGGATTATTTCTAATGAAAACCAAGAACCTTCAGGATCTTTCTGAAGAAATATCGAGACTGAATGAATATCTTTACAGTTTTCATTTTGAGTATGCTCAAAACTTGATCTTAAGGATTCTAACAAGAATTATAATAGATGTGGTTCAGGATTTTGAAAAACGTTATGAAATCATTCCAACAAAATGTTTACCAGTTTCCCTTTGATATTCTTTTTGACTATTTTCGAATCTTTGAATCGCAAAAAATTACACAGTGTATCTGAACTAAAATATCAACAGCAACAAACCGAAAGGTCATTCAGAATTTTACTGTGTTTTGTTTCCACTTTGACATGAATCTAGGAGTTCAAGGGTTTACCGGAATCTTATTCTATTATTTATTTGCATCTCCATGTAAGTGAATAGAAGAGTTTGGGTTGAATTTCAGAAGATTTTTCCTCAAAACTTTGCAAGATTTATATTCAATATGATATGATATGACGTTCATAGCAAGGTACTTAATTATCTTAGGAATTTTAGTTTTACATAAAACCTGAAAGTTCATTAGAATGGATACCTGAATATAAGTTTAATTGTTGTCCTAACTTCGTCTTTAAAAATAGGTTTTTAGTAAGAGACGAGTCATTCAGTAAGAACCGCACTGGATTTAGTTTATTTATATCGAAATAATGAGAAAAATATATTTTTAATCAAATTGAAATCAACCACTAATGGTAGAATTTCATAATAAGTGATCAATGTAGCAAGTTTAATACTGAATTTTTCTTCGAATAATATATGTTTATAAAAATTATTCAATTAAAAATTAATATTTCAGAGAGTCCTCAAGATATTGAAGATCGAAGTTAAATTAAATAACTTCACACAGTCTACTATAGTAAAATAATCGATTTGTAAACTAGAGATCTAGAGATCGATTTTCTATGCGCTCATTTCTCTTCATTTCCAGCGGAGAAAATCCTGCAGAGATCTAGTCGAGAAATCGGATAATATCCCTAAAGAAGTGTAGTGAAGTCCTCCGAGGTGCAATCAAGACATATTTTCCTAACTACAAATCATTCAAATTTTGACACGATCTGGATGAGATCAACGCGAAAGGGCTCAAAATGTTTGTAATATCTTGTTTTTATCCTTAAAAAATCATGTTTATTTCATGCCTACACGTTTTTCTAAGGATTTGCCCTTGCATTAACGAACTCCTTATTTAAATTGCATTGGGAAACTGCTCAGGATCTTGACAGAATTTTGTTATGATTCTTGTTGAGTCTTGAAATTGCATGACTACACGATTCTCTCAAGATTTAGCGGTTTCTTGATTTATTTATGATTGAAAACCAGTGAAAAAGTGTTTACGATCTTGATTGGACCTCGACTCAAGTTCTGTCAGCGTCGTTAAATTCTGTAGCTACATTTTTTTTCAGATTTTCTCGTTCCAATAGAAAAAGCGGTGCACCTGTGCAGAACACTTGTCACATATGTCAGAGATCTTGCTCAAAAACATTCGAGCTTTTCTCTAGAAAAAATTCAGTATTATCTTTCACAATCTATTGAAGTCCATAAGTATTTCAGCAGAAGCCTAGAAGCTTCATAGTAATTTCAGACTAATATGGAAAATCTGAATACTCATAAATCTTATTCGATCATGTAAACTGCAAAATTCATCGACATACGTCAGAATTAATCACGACCTATCAGAATCTCAGGCTTCAAGATTTCTGCTTTCTTTTTCGACAGAAATTCTAGGGAAGATTCTCCATCTGTTCACTTAGTTTTCAAAGGTTCTAATGGATCCGCGCAGATTCCAATGGTAACCCGACTATTGCTTCACTGACATATGCTCCCATGACAGTTGCTCCAGAGATAATTCCTTCTGGCGACACTTGCTCCCTGGACAATTCAGAATATTGGTGTCAATGTCGATGAGGGTAACAACGTGAATGTGAGTGAGAGCATGAATATGATTGATTGTGTGTGAGGGTGCGGATATGGCTTAGTGTGGTTGTGGGGAGCAACTGTCGCTGGGGATATCAGCCAGGAGAGCACTTGTCATAGAACCGATTCGAATAGACCGTGGGATGAGCATCAGAGTCGCTTGTTCTCTTTGCGGGGTGTGGGTGTGGGTTTGGGGTAGGTGTGTGTTAATGTTCTCATAACCATATGCACATCCACACCCACACCCACACCCTGTTTGATTATAGGAAGAACCGAATATATTTGTAAAACCATTTTTAATTGCATCAGCAGCATCAGATATCAATGCTGTTGGTTTTAGTAAATCTTTATTTATTTTTTGCATACCAACTTGAATAGTATTGAAGATAAATTCAAAATCTTTAGTTTTTTCATTTGAACATACTGCTAAACCAAATGGATGAAATGCTTTGTTAAAATCAGTAGTACCCACAATTAAAACAGGAAAACCTTGCCAAACTAATTTATATGTAGCATCAGCATGTAAATGTGACGACATTGATGCAATGTTGAGCAAACGAACAGATGATATAAATGTACGGAATTTATTTCCATCTTCTTCGATATCTTCATCATCTTCATATTCTTCATTATCATATAATATTTTGTATGCTACAACAAAAGCTTTATTTTCATCAATTGGCACTTCTACATTACCTTCACACCATTGTTCCAATTCACCTAAGCTTATTTTATGTAAACCATATTTCTTTTTTTTGTATTGGACAAGGTAATTTTTAATCTGTATTAATGTTGGCATTTTCATTTTTCTAGTTTGAAGTGCTCGAATAATTTGCTTTGGCTTCATGATACCATCATTATATCATTCTTCAATGCACTTTTTAACATTTGCATCAATACCACGAACTTTTTCATTATGATGATCATGTCCAGCTTCAGTTTTATAAAGAGTTACTTGATCACTGTCTGCATGATATAACAGATGAATACTTGTGCTACATTGAGGTCCATGAAGTTTAGCTTTGTTGCATCTGTAATAAACTCTTCGTCCATCTTCTATATAATTTGTATACTGCTTTGACCAGATATTTTCAATTGATGCCTCTGCTTCCTCAGCATTATCAAATGTAGCTTCTTTACCCAATGCTTAGATCTTCTCTTCTTCTTGACTTTTTTATTTCGATTTAAATCATTATTTTCTTCGACAACTTCATCTGATACATCACTTTCATATTGTGCAACCTGTACCATTTCCATCTTTTTTACTTGTTTACACAGCTGATGATGAGAGATAGGATAGAAATAAAGAGTATGCATATATCATCATGTATGTAGTACTTGTTATCTGTACGACATAGTCGAAGAACAAAAAAAAAAAGGTAAAAAATGAATCATACCATAGCACATTTGAATTTCTACACTCATCTTTTTATTTAATTTACTGTTAAATAATTATATTTACTGGTTCTCAAATTTATTTACAGACCTTATTAATTAATAACTGATCATTGAAATATTTTACTGGTCAATCATTCTATTTACTGATCAATCATTCAGTTTACTGATCAATCATTCGATTTACTGATTTTATAATATTCTAATGTACTGATCATTTCATCCATTTTACTGATCACTTAAATCGTAGCCAAATTCAAATAGATAAGCCATTTGATAATCGTCTTAGCCGACGTGAAACTAGTTATGGCAGCTTAGTCTCACCCTCACCCTTGCCTCACCCCAAACTTACCTGATGATGACCGTTAAGCAAGGTCGAAACGATCGTCGTAAGTAGCTTGGAATCCTCTTATATACTCACACCCACACCCTCAAATTCGCACGATAGTCTAAAAAATGGATACAATTGAGATGTTAAAGAGCTCTCGAAGAAGTTCAATGATATATTTTTCGGGATATTTATACACTCAGCATCGAATAACAGAAGAAAAGCGTATATTTTAAATTTAATCTATCAACTCTGTTTGATGTTTTTTTTTGGTCGTTGTCAAACGATTATCCCGATGGAAATGTTAATAAAAGAACCATCTGAACATTCTCACGTGTCTGATCAAGATCGACTACATTAAAATAAGCTTTATATTATATTGCTATAATGAAAATGAATAATCATAATTTGGGATGAAATGTAGGTGGATGAATTGTAAGGGGACAAATTGTAATTGGGACGAAATGTGAGGGACAAAATGTAATGGGAGGAAAAATAGAAGACGAAGTGTAGGGGTACCAATGAAAACTGTCAGTACGATAATTGTATATCAAAGAACTTGGTTTAAAGTTGTCATAGCCTCTTCAACACCTTGTGGAAATAGGATTTTCGCTTTCTTTTGTCGTAATCTTTCGTTTTCTTCATACAATGCGCGCACTTGTTGAAGCTGTTTATCAGTGACACCGAGTTCCTTGGCAAGGATCTGGATAGCTTCAACCTCTCCAGGTGCTAAGTCGTTATCGGCGGCAGCAGCCCGAAATCCATCGTAAAGAAGACACCATCGACACTGTTTTAATAACAATGAGTCCGCATTTTGGAAAAAGTCCTTGATAATGTTGGAGTCGCCTGGTTTATATGTGTTCAGTTGCTCAAGTAAGTCTTGCGAAGCTCCTAAATTAAGCAATCAAGTAAAGTTTATACTGACGAATAGAATAAAATAACTCACCACAGATAGCAGCCATGCCCACTATCCATTCGCGTTCACGCTCACTCAATATTCCATCACCCGAAACCACTTCCATGAGTGCCTCCGTGTAAAGGCGCAAAACTTTTGGTGTGGGCAGTTCACCCTTATGGCAAAGCTCGTCTTCAAAGTACCAAGTACCGATAATTACATTAACTGGTGGTAGGTTTTTACTCATTTTACCTATACATATACAGACACATAGTACCCATGAAAAAAATTTCAATAAATTTAATGATTTAACGGAAAAAGATGTTACCCTTTTTCTTATCGTAAAAAGGCATTAAAACTATCTATTTTAATGATGTCTCACTGGTGTTTTATCTTGAACATGAGATTAACATAAAATTACTTGTGAGACTTCGTTAAAATGCATAACTTTAACGTGTTGTCAGGGTAAAAAATGCAACATTTTTTTTGCGTTAAATCGTTAAATTTATACAAATTTTTATATGGGAAAAAAAGAAAAGAAATGAAACAAATGTATGGTATATTTCACCTATAATAGCAGTCACTTTATGTATCAATGTGAATGAAAATGGCTGGCCCATGTTTTATGAAAGCTTTATATGCCTGCGGAGCAGCCATATTTAAATTTGATGCTAATTGTTGTTCCATGCTTCTTTATTATATTGTACTTTGTTTCTCATTATGAAATCAAAATTTATCCACAATAGATACATATTGTGGCAGCCATTGAAATGCTTTATCTGTCGCATATAATTGATTGTAATTAAAACTAATTCAAGTGATGAAATAATCAAATTAGTACGATACATCGCTTTATGCCAACTGCTATTGTACGGATATTTTAATAAGAGTAGCAAACTAGCAATCTTTTCAAATAATTTTTATGTGTACTTAAGCTGTGAACGTCTAGGAATATAGCCTGAAAATTTCAGATCATAATACTGCCTCGTTATTGAATTATTGAATTTTTACAAAACATCAAAAACAGCAAAAAATGATTTCGTTCCGGAATAGATTTCATATTTAATGAATTTCTTTTATGTTCCTACTTACGCTGGAACGTTTTGAAAATAAAAATATCCCTATCTAGTAAGTTCTCCACAGCTGTATCTATTACAAAAAGAATTTGATCAAAAACTGAAATCTAGAGGAGCAGAACTACTTAGGACACACCAAGAATAGTGGTAGTGACATATTAATACCGTATAGCAAACTTAAAGAAACTTTCTCTCTATATAGTCTGATAGAGAAGTAAAAGCTCTATATTTCTATGCTATTTGATCATACTTCAACTAATAGCATAATAATAAAATTTCGATAAGATCTCTTTTGTTCGCATGTGTCATGGTTCTATGAATGTTAGTGAGTAGTTTCTGAATAACTGTTGATAGAAATAAGATGGAGAAGTGCGGTTTTCACCGTTAGAAAGAGGAGATGAAGATGCATGGAATCGTATATTGTAGGTTTTTCTAATATTGATTTCTGAAGTATTTTTATTCAATTTTCTAACAGTCAGAAAAATGTTTTTTTTATCATAAAAAAGAAAAAGCACAAAAGTGAGCATTTTTCACAGATTTTGCTACAAAATCATATTAGATGTTCGAGTAGAATGCATATTATACATCTTAGCCTTCCGCATTTTGCAGATCTTCGATTAGTAGTTTGATTTTATACTTGATAATTGAAAATTCACTATAAAAACTTACCAGATAAGTTGGATCTTAAAAAGATCAATTGAAAACCTTACAAAAAACGAATCGGGAAAAACTGAAATATACGATCCGATGCGTCTTCATCTCCTCTTCCCAACGGTGGACACCACACGTCTCTATCTTGTTTTTATCAAAAGTTATTCAAAAGATACTTACTAGTATTTTTTAATATGAGTATCAATACAACCAGCACATATGATAACGAAATACGTCTTATCAAAATTTTATTATCATGATATTAGTTGAAGTATGATCAAATAGCATAGAAAGAAAGTAGTTTCTTTAAGTCTGCTATACGATATTAAAGTGCCACTGCCACTATTTTTGGTATGCCCTAAGTAATATTGCAAAAAGGAGTAAGTTTTTTATGGGCCACCCTGCATGATCTCACAAAGTAAAATACCATAACATACTACATCCTTACTATCTCATTATTCTGACTGACGCACATAGAGAAAATCATAATTCAATTTATAATCGTAATTCAATTTATAAATTCTATACAGTTACCTTCAACAATAATTTTGATTTCACGAGAATATTCGTCGAATCAAAACGGACGTTACACTGATCTATCAACAAAAAACAGTAGCTTTAAATGAGATATTAACAAGAGATATCACATCAAGTAGCGAATTGAACTAAGCAAATCAACGAACAGTTTACATGATTAAAAGTAAAACAAGACAACACACATACTTCGTTGTACTTTTGCATCAAAGCTTGGAAAACCTATTGGTACATTTTGTGACACTCTCTTACTAACGTAGGGTTCCACCTGACTGGATCTTCCATGTTAACAAAACCGACACGATATAAATAGTTCTCTTATCAAAGTGCTGATATTCACATTGCATTTCCATATCACACATAGAGGACACCGAAAAATTGAAAAACGACTTTATGCATTTCAGAATGTGAACTACAGAGAATTTCCAACTCCGCGATATAGAGAAAAAAAATCAAGTTATTCTCTCGTTCACATGAGCCTACCGTGAAGTTACACGGACTGTTTCACACATAGCCAAACAAAAACTGGACACCGTTCTCGTGTTTCATGAGCAAGTGTACTGACTATTTACAACAGCAACGAACAAAAAAAAACAACGCATTTCTAGGAATATATAAGACAATAGCTACCATCTATACACAGTCCCAGAAAGAAGAAAAACTTAGAACACAATTATACGGTTCTATGAACTGACATTTTGAATGGGCATAAAAAGCGTCGAGAGAACAATATAATGCGGTCTTAGTGTTTAGTGAGTGAGACTATTAAGTATGCACATCAGCGACGAAGAAACAGACAAAAAAACGTTTTTCTGCCAATATATAAGACAATAGTTACCATCCACCGACAGTTCCTAGAAAGAAGAAAAGAATAGAACACTATTATACGGTTCCATAAAGGGACATCTGGAATGGGCATAAAAAGGCTATAGAGAAAAACATAATGTTGTCTTACTGTTTACTGAGGGAAACTGTTGAGTATGCACATCAGCGACGAAGAAAAATAAAAAAACATGTTTTTCTGGCAACATATAAGACAATAAATAGCACCTGCAGACAGTCGCTAGAAAGAAGATAAAATTACAAAAGTATCATGTGATTCCATAAACTTACATCTGGAATAGGCATTGTTAGCTCGTTTCGTCGAGCGGTCTATATATATTTATTTTTAAAGAAAATGTATCGTATATATATATATATATATATATATAAATGTCCTTCAAGTACATAAATTCAATAACCAAAGAGAAGAAAAGAAAAGATTATATAATAAACAAAGAAAAAAGAAAGACGAAAGCATCGAGGAATATAGTGAGCGGATATCACCGCTAACAGTCCTCTCTCCTTACAAGAGATGTGTGTCCTCACACATTGATGTTCATCAATTGAAGAGGAAAGTTGTGATTTAATAACACTTGGAATAAGAATAATAGTCTGATTAACTTCCCTATCTATTGTCATATAACTTGTACTTAATCGTATGGTGTTGTGTGTTAATCCATATGAAAAATCGATAGCTTGAAGTGTTGTTGATGTTGTTTGATGTTGGGTATCTTCATGACACGTATTATAAAAAATTAAACTTAATGTGTTTGGTGAACATTGATCAGTTCCATTTTGAATAATAAAATTTTTATCATTATACCAATTAAAATTATTCATTAAACCTTGATAAGGTCTATCACGACTTCGTTGGATTTGTTGACTTGTTTTATTTGATATTTTCTTTTTTTTTTTGTCAACATTAAATTTATAATAATTTTTATATTGATCGTTCTGATGTAAATATATGTAGTACAATTGTATGACAATTAAGTTCTCAAACGACTAATGTATCATTTTTATACATTACTATAGGATGTTCAATAATATATATGATAGTCATATCAAATGTTTCAGGTTCAAAAGTAATGTTAATAAATTATTATATATCAAAATAGTGATCAGTTATAATTATTGATAAATAATCTAAAATATTTTGAGGTCTAGTTTGTCATCTGTAACGTGTTACATGTCGATCATTTGATATTATCATTGGTTTTATACCATCATCATTTGTATGAAGATGTTTCATAGATTTTAATTTATCATTTATTAGTTACCAACATGTTCATTAGATTCTCGAATATCAATTACATAATCATGATAATTTTTGTATCAATAAAATAAACCTGACTATGTGGAAAAAAGTTAGAAGTTCATGATTGTGTTAAATGACCATCTAATATAGTTGTTGAATTATTTTTTATATTTAAGACAAAATAATCTTCGTTAATATGTGTAAGAAAATGTTGAGAACTATAAGGCATGATCAATGTTCAGAATTAAATGTAAATGAACATGTCGGACGAGATATTATTAAACGTTTCTTGGTAATAATTTATTAGGATGATCATATATAGAATCAGATTTAATCGTATGTTCATTAAGTAAATTGTGAAGCGAATGTAGTTTGCAACTACAAAATAAAATTACATTATAGGCCCATGTAAAAAAAATACGGAAAAAATCAGATTATAATCGATTCATTTTTGATTAAAAATCGATTAAAATCATACACCTTTTAATCGATGATTAATCGATGAATAATCGGTTAAAATGATGCCCAATCGATTATAATCAACAAAACATCGGTCTACTTCTGAAAACCGATTAAAATTGATTAAAATTGCTTTTTATCAATTCTAAATTGATGAATAATCGATTAAAACCAACTACGTTGCCTATATTTATGCATAACCACATATATCTATCTAGTTCTCATCTCTATACTTTTGCCTAACTCTCTATTACTATCTATTATCATGCCGTTAAATCTATGTCTGGTCTCTTATAATTCTCTATTTCTAATCCTCCAATATCCATTCATAACACGTTATAACTATGCATCTCTAATTGTCTATGCTTATTCCTAACTTGTTATAATAATCTATCCCTAACTCCCTAAACTTACCTCTAACCCCTTAAACCTGTCTCTCTGAACCCTCTATACTTATCCCTAACACCATACATCTACTTATTTCTAACTTTATACTTTCTAAGAAAGCCTGTTTTCAAGACAACAGAAGAGATATCGGATTTCTCAATTGCTGTAATGTAGCTTATCCTTTGGATGTAACCATTTGAAGAATCTAAAACAAAAGAATAGTTAATATTAGCTTTTAGTTCTTAAATATCACTTACCTCTTGCATAAGGACTATGTGAAAAGTCTGGAACGAAAAAAAAGTTAATATTAGTTTGTAATTCTTAAATATAACTTACCATTTCGATGAGATCTATTCCAAAAAGGGTGTGGGTGTGGGTGTAGGTGTGGGTGTGGGTGTGGGTGTGGGTGTGTGTGGGTGGGGGTGGGGGGGGTGTGGGTGTGGGTGTGTGTGTGGGTGTGGATGTGGGTGTGGGTGTCGATGTCGATGTGGGTGTGGGTGTGGGTGTCGGTGTAGGTGTAGGTGTGGGGTGTGGGTGTGGATGCGGATATTGTATCGGTCGATGTCGGTGTGGGTATAGGTGTGGTGTGAGTTTGACCGATACAATATCCGCATCCACACCCACACCCCCCCCCACCCCCACACCCACATCGACATCCACACCCACACCCACATCCACACCCACACACACACCCACACCCACACCCACACTACACCCACACCCAAATCCATACCCACACCCTCGATAAAATAGTCGACGTAATATTTGAGTATCATCATTATTCAATGAAGCACGAGCACGAGCACGACCTTCACGTTCAATGACATCGTTCGTCTCACGAAATAATTGTAAAATATTATGATCCGTTCGAATTGAGCAATTAGCAATGGCAGCTATTCTAGTTGAAGACATAGCTTGATCTAAACGTAATGAAATGATTCGCCATCGATCTTCAAGAGATAAATGAATAGGCATTATGGATAAATTTTATTAATGTGAAACAATATATCAGCAAAAGTGTGCTTGATTCACGTGTTGGTGATTTTATCTAACCAATCGGACGTGATAGAGTATAAAATGTTTATTATAATGCGACAAGAAGGAAGAAAAAAAGATAATGTTTTCTCTGTGAATCTTTCTGGCAAACAACGATAACAAAAGTTGCTGTGTAATGGAAAGTTATTTGTTTCAAATTTTATTAAGATGTATATATAAAAGTAGACAGAATGATAGAGAATTTGACGCTCTATCAAATGGTATAATTACTTTCATAAAAATTTTCCATTGAAGATAGTCATTTTTAAATAATACTAAAAATAGTGAGAAAATACTGGTGATATTTCGCACTAGTCGATTGTCATTATGTTTTTTGTATTCAGTCTAACTTTTGAATATATAAATGTAATGTGATAGCTAGTTATATAGGGTTATAGAGAATTTCACGGGCTATCAGAATATGCAATTACTTTTTTAAAAATATCTTTATAAAGGGCTAAAAACTTTCAAAAACTATTTTCCATGAGAGTAACAACTACTTCATTGTGGGAATCTGGGGACAAGGGTGTCTTCATTGCATCCAAATTCTTTTTTTAGCATATTACTACAAATGAAATTGTAATTATGGAGGATAATAGAAAATTCCACGGGCTTTCAGAATATATCATTATTTTTTAAAAAATATCTTATTATAGAAAAGATTTTGTTAAAATACTGAATGCAGTTTCTTTTTTCCGGGGGTATATATAGTACTCGACTTCTACTACAGAGGCATATAATCAAATTAAATTAATGTTATGTAGTTTTAATACACGAATCAAAACAAAAAAGTGGCGCGAAACTTTTGAGGTGCATACTACTATATACGATTCGGTGCGCATCGACTTGCGCTACAATATGGTATATTTGGTTTCTCAATTCTGAATAGATCACCGTATTCGACAAGGTCCTTTTCGAGTTGAGTTTTCCGATCAGGGAAGGTTTTTTTGCGAAAATAACGATTTTTCATAAAGTTTGACCAAAAGTTTTCGGGGTTGAGGGATCCGAATCTATAGATAGTTTTTCGAAATTTTGAGTTGAACTTTTTCGAAAGGAGAGGCCACTTCCACACGATTTAGCCAAATTTATTAAAAATCGTTATTTTCGGAAAAAAGCCTTACCTGGTCAAAAAAGCTTGACTCGAAAATTTCGACAATCTATCCATAGATTCGGATTCCTTGATCCCGGAAACCTTCGGTCAAACTTTATAACAAAATCATTATTTTCGCGAAAAAGAACTTGGCCGACCAGAGACGCAACTCAAATTTTGGAGAAATGGATGGATGGATTGTAGATTCAGATTTCTCTCCCAGCAGTGGTGCGTTAGCCCCCCCCCCCCC